GGAAAATGTGATTTTATTTTACTTGTCCATGTGACGTAACTCGTATTGCGGGATGCGGGTTTCGGGTGTCACACACATGTCCGGAGGCAAATTGTACGGTGTCAGAATCACCGGCCACAGAGAGTAATTCGGACCAGACATTCCAAATGGATTAAACCCATCCGTACATAATGCTAAATATACATTTCTAGACTCGCTTGCAAAATCAGGAAATACCTGTTGAAAATGTTTCCAAGCCAATCCATCAGATGGATAATGCATTTCTCCCTCTGGAGTACAATGTTCCGCGTGCCAGCGCATATGTGATGCAGTCTTTTCGGATTGATATAACCGCTTTAATCGATCCGTTAATGGCATATAAAACATTCTTTTAAAAGGAATTAACTTGCCTTTTTTTGAAGATTTCCGTCGTGGTCGGTATCTGTCTTTGTTACAGAACCGACATTGCATCAGATCTGAATCGTCTTTCCAGAAAATCATACACTTGTTCTCGCAGACATCAATCTTCTGATACGGTAAACCCAACGTCCGCATTAAACTCTTAGTTTCATAATAAGATTCAGGTGCAGTGTTACCTTCTGGGATATAATGTTTAAACATCTGGGTGAAACCGTCCATACACCTTTCTGGAAGATTATAATCTGTCTTCATATTCATCAACTGTGAAGATAATGATAACCTTGAAAGACCTTGGACACATCCATCGTATATCGTCGTATTCGCCGTATGAAGCATACCATAAAACCTTTGTGCTTCTACGTTGGGTTCCTCCTCCATGTGGGGCGATGGAACGATGTTGGGAAATGCATCACTCACCATTTCCGTGTATGGATTCCTTATTTCTTCTCCAAATGTCATCTCCGACGTCGTATTATTGATTTCTTCATATCCAACCATATGTACATCTTGTGATGATGATGTATCATAGGTTTCTCCATGTGCAAGCCAAACAAAATAATTCGGCATGAAACCTTTACGATATAAGTGATTCCACACTTCATTCAAACTCCGCCATTTTTTATTCTGGCACTTTAGACACGGACAAGGCAGCTTTTCGCTCTCCAAATACGAATGATTTGACGTGGCAAACGACATAAAATTTTGCAACCCTTCTTCATATTGCTTTGAGATTGATTCGTAATAGAATCAATTCTTTCATACATCCATTGTCGAGAATAAAACGACATTTTTTTAAAACTTTCTATTTTTTTCTCTTTGCCATGGAGAATACATGCCGCGGTTGTTAAATAGACTTCGAGAGTGCGACGGAAAGCGACGGAATGCAGATATTGCGACGGAGTAACAACGGAATGCGACGGGATTAAGTCAAAACGAATAACACGTGTTTAACTACCTGCGACGCACCGAATCCGTCGCATTACCGACGGAAATGGCCGTCACCATCCGTCGCTAATTATTTGCGACGCAATTTTTCCGTCCAAATCCGTCGCAAAATTTTCCGACGAAAGTTCGGTCGCAAATATCCGTCGCAATCCGTCTGACAAAATTACCGACGGAAAGTTTCGTCGGTCGTTGTCGAAATTGTCGACGGACTGCGCGACGGGTTACGATTGATGCAAATCCGTCCCAAATTCGTCGTTGTCCGTCGCATATATTTTAAGCGACGGAAATTCCGTCGCAAATTCCGTCGGTAAATACAGTGTTTCTTGTAGTCATAACATCATCTATTTTCTCGGCGTCTCCAGTTTGATGGGCGTACTGGTTTTTCTGAGGGAGGGCTTCTTCGCTTCATGTCAGGTAGATCTTGACTCAAATTACCTCCAGACACAAAATTAGGATTGAACTGAGATTTACCTTGATATCCGAGACCAGAATGATCTCCAGTGTTTCGACCCTGTCCAAGCAGATGATCTAATTTTCCAGTCTCATTTCCAAGAAGGTGCAGATTCTTCTTAGTTCCTTCCAGTTGACATTTCATCAATGAAGCCTCTTCTTCTTTTTGTGCAAGTTTTTGTTGAGTATCTGTCAGCAACAATTGTACTTGTCTGAGATCCTTCTCCAGTTGTTGTTTTTCACTGATCAGTTGCTTATTCATCAACACCAACTTGTTCATTTCTTTGAATAATTCCTCCTCAGTGACTTCTTCATCATCACTATCCACTGCTTGATCATTTTCTTCTTCAATGATTCCAAGAAATGCTACAAAATTGGACAAATTTTCTTCATCACTCTCTTCCTCAGATGAGCTATCTTCATGAGTGATAAAGGATTTTCCCTTCTGTTTGGTACATTCCATCTTCGTGTGTCCAAATCCTTTGCATTCAAAGCACTGTGTCTCCTTGAGATTCTTCAGCACACTTTCTCTCTTTGCAATACGCGGACATTCACAGCCTTCCAGTGTCCTGTACCTTTGCATTCTAAGCATTTTCCTGAATCTCTGTCATTTTGTTGTCCAAATTTCTTCTTTCCCTTGAAAAATCTATTGAACTTCTTAATGACCAGTGCCATCTCATCATGTAACTCTTCTTCAGACTGTTTTTTATTTTTTACCTGTCTCCTATTCTCTGAATCAATCTCATTAGTTCAGGAACATGAAGAGCAATACCTTGTCCTTTCTTGGTTTGAACAGACGATCCACCATTCATTAGTTGCAATCTCAATTCATGTGCAGCAAATGTTCCGACAACTTCTTTGAAAGTGACAGTCTCCAGATTGTTTAGCCTTCAAATACCAGAATTTGTGAGTGGTACTTGGCTGATAGACTATTCAGAAGTTTCTTTACCACCTTATCATTACTTATCCTTTTGCCAAGTACACTTGCCTCATTTGATAAAGCACTTAGCTTCCCACAAAATTCCTTAACACTTTCATCATCTCCCATCCTCACGCGTTCAAACTGAAGATCTATGATATCCAACCTGTTTCTCTTTACTTTGGAGGTTCCTTCATGAATAAGCTCCAAAGTATCCCATGCATCCTTAGCAGTTTCGCACCACCGAACGAGAGAGAGAAAATTCAAGAACGGCAAAACACGGTCTAAGCGAACAAACCCTGATCTGGGTCTCATAAACTCGACCCGTACAAAGACCAAAATTCCCTTTCGCCTTTAGAAACCTTCTATCTCTGCTAGACGCTTTGCGAGCCTCTCCTTTGCTCCGAGGGTTTGAAGAAGATAACCAACAAATTGTTTTTTCTACGTATAAAATGTAAGATATTCAATTATAAAATATTAGAAAAGATTCAATATTATTCAATAAAAAAAACGTAAGACAAATAACATAAATAACCAAAAAAAATATAAAACAATACCAATCTAGAGAGCATTTGAATAATAGATTAAGTTTTTGGTTATTGTAATTAAATTTTGATTAATAGAGGTTAATGTGATTCCAGCTAAAGTTAATGTGATTTATTTTCATAAAATTTTACAAGTAAATAGTTAAAAAGTAATTTTATATATTTTTTAATAAATATAGAAAAATATTTATGAATATACGATTTTGAAACTGTAAAATTTGAATGCAAGTTAATCTAAATATATGTGTATTCATACATCCGAATACAAATAAAAAAGCAATACAACGTTACAAAAAAGTCCCACGCTGAAATATTTCGGACCAGCCCCTGAAGAGCGAAACTGGTGGGCCCGACATCGGGTGGTACATGAGAAATTATTCAGTACAACGAACCACACACAAATTCGCCAAACCTTATGGGGCCCATAAGATCCGACGGTGCAGATATGTCTCCTACGTGCCAACGCTCCCACGCTGAGACAGCTCACGTGCGGTTGGCGGGAAGACGGCGGCAACGTGGAGACCAATCATGTCGAACGGTATTGACACGTCATCAAGAGTAAGAATGGGGGGTCCATGTCCCTTGTGGTTCGCTGTAACGGAGACCTCTCTCTCCTCGTCTCCCACGTTCTTCAACAGTGCTTTGTCTTCTCTTCTCAATCATTGGTCTCTTTCTCTATTTACCGTTTTGCCACTCTTCCGTTTTTCTTTTTTTTTTCATTATTTGTTTCAAATACAATTATATGTTATACAATTTGGATGGATCTGATTTTATGTAATCGAACCGAAATTAACATTTCGAATTGGTCCTTTCTTATTATTATTCTTATTAACTGGTAGTTCAAAAATTATTTATTTGGGACTAGGGTGACGGTATTTTTTTTGTTAATATGAAATTTGAAGTCATATTATTTGTTGTAAGATCTCGGTATTCTTGTAATCTATAATTGTTAAGAATTAATCTTAAAAAAATACCAAAATATTTATTTGGTATTCTTGTAATCTTTTACAATTTTAGAAATATAAAATTACTTTATCCTATTTAAAATGTGAATAGTAATATCAGGATATATTTTTCCACCGTTATAGTAAAATTTGATATTTTAATGAAGAATAATAGATTCTCTCCTTTTCAACCTTTTTTTTGTTTAGAAATTACAATACAAAGATTCAAAATTAAATATGATATTTTTTCTAAAAAAACAAATAAATCAAAATAGAAACCAAAAATTAAAATATTCGAATACTTTTAAAAAATTATATTATATTAGTAACTGAAAGTAAATTTGATCTGAAAAAAGAGCAATCATTTAGTTCTGATATGAACAATTTGTTTCCAACTATTCATTTGATTTTATTTTTTTGTTACCAAAAGTTAAACTAATATATACTAAAAAATCATCTACTAACAATTATGAGTTCATTTCTTTTTATAAGTAAATTTAGAGAAAAAGACAAAAATTTAAGGGATAAGAACTAATCACCCGCAAAATATATTTAAATAAATAATAACTTTAAAAAATCAAAAGACAGCCAAAGGTGGGGCTGTTTTCGTCATTTTGGAGACATATCTCTCCTGACCTTGAAAACGCCCATACTATTTTGCACAATCAGCAATGGGAAGAATGTCACTGTTCTTCTGCATACCCTTTTCAATGTATCAGCCTTAAATTCCAGCTTTCGAAGCTTCCTTCGTCAGATAAAGTGTTTCCGCTTTGCAATCTCATCCACATATTGGTGAGTAATCACTTTGATTTCAGTGTGTTCTTCATGACTTTGTGTCGTGGGAACTGTTGTTGAAATTCCTTAGTGGGGTTTTCTCCGTGGTTCTGTTCTTTGTAACAAAATTGGATTTTGATTTGTGGCCTTTGCTTTTGGTCCGTTGATGGAATCTGGGTTTTGTTTGGTTGCTGAGAAAATGCAGCATAATGGTTCTGGGAGAACATGTGTGATGCGCTGTTTTAATCGTCCCGACGCGAAGTTTGTCTTGACCATATTGGAAAGCAAAGTTATCTGAATTCGAATTTAAGTCGAACTCGAGTGATTTAAATAGGAATTATGATATGAATTCTCATTGAGTTTTTGGAATCTTCTGAATCTATGGCCTGTTGATGAGTTTAGTGTAGTGTATATTGTTAGATGATGTTTAAGATGACAGATCCAATATGCTTTAGAGTCTGTATTTGGAGTAATAAACTGTCACGATTTGACGAAACCATAGAATCTCTGTTTCTTGAGAACTTTCGGTCTGGAATAATGATAATTAGCATCAGCAATTGTTCTCTCTGATGTTTTTTAGTGTAGGGCTGAATAATCAAATCATCAAATGGAAAATTGCTTGGTTCCTCAAGAAACCAAGATACGGTCTTAGCGTTTGAACCAAGGGGGCTTGGTTTGGTTCACCGTTAGTGGATATACTTTTGCTATTTTGTGGCAGGAATGGCATCTGAGAAAGGCATAGCAGTGGAGGATGAGAGTGTTATCACTGAGATGAATACCGAAGAGCAACCTGTCCTAGAATCAAAGAAAGAGGAAGCTAATGTATATGAGAGTGGCAAGAATCCGAACGAACCAGAAAATCTTGAATTATCTGGGAAGAAAGTGGAGAATATGGATGAGAATGTTCCAGAAGCTAAAATCTCGAAACCCGTTATGGTATAACTCCCGAAACATCCATCTGCGTTCTCTGAGTTCAAGGCTGTTCAGAAATTTCTGAACATTGTATGTTTTTATAATGTCTTTTCTGCTCGATTTGTTGCAGGAAACAAGCAATCAAGATTCGGGTACTTCGAAGAAAAGCAAAATGGCCAAGGAGAAGGCTGTTCCAAAACACCAAGGGACATTTTCTCGGAGCCCGAGATTCCTTTCTCAAAGTCTTTCATTCCCATCTCGAGGACCTCATGCTGCTATTACTAGAAAGAGCATCGGGGCTGCATCTAAGACTACCGTTAAATCTGTCCTTGTGAACGGACCAAACCCTAAGGTTGCAGCATCTCCGAGAAGCAATGTTTCCACCAAGCGGACAAGTTTGGTATCCACGCTCCATAAAAAACAAATAACGGTAACTTATTTACTACATTGAATTGTTGAAACTCTAATGGTATATGTTGTTTCTGTCTTTTCCTGTTTTGAACTCGTCAATTTTTTTTCGTATTTTTCAGCCTGCAAAACCCGGTTCTGAGGATGCTGCTCTGGACCCTACTTCAGAAGTTTCAAAGTGAGTTGTTATATCTGTTCGTTTCAAGACGTGCAACCGTGGAATTATATGATTCATCAATTGCAACTAGGCTCTGATAACATTTTGAAATCATGGAGCGAAATTCATAAATGGTAGGAGAATATTCAAATGATCCATCAATTATATGGAAACTAACTTTAACTGGAAACTAAACCGATATTCTAATAGAGGACTAAGCAAATATTTGAAGGTAGATCTAGAATAGTTCCATGAACTGTCTTGGCACCACAATGGCAGGTCGGGAGATAAGGATTCTAAACCAGTGAAAGGTGAAATGCCCAGCAAAGATGATGAGGACACACGTTCTACTACGACTTCGTATGGCTGTTTCTGTTTTTTAGTCGTTCATTCTTTTTGTAAAAAGCCGAGTTTATCTATATCTATGTTACTGTTCTTGAACATTCAATAGAACTTCAACTCCTCGAGGGCGGAGAAGCATTGGATCCGCATCTGGATTTTCATTCAGGTTGGAGGAACGGGCAGAAAAACGCAAGGAGGTTTGCTCATGACCAGCCCCACAAAAAAAAAAAAAAAAAAAACAACTTGCTTCAACTAAAGCAAGTTTAGTATCCTTACTAACCCTGTCTTCTGGTGTTGTAATGGTTTTGGTGTCAGTTCTATACCAAACTAGAAGAGAAGATCCATGCAAAGGAAATTGAGAAGAGCAATTTGCAGGCAAAATCAAAGGTGCAATCTCGATAAATAAAAAACTTTTATTTATGGGGTTTGTGTAGGAGAAATTACTTAACGTTTTTCCGAATGTCTTGTGCAGGAGAACCAGGAAGCAGAGATAAAAAAACTAAGGAAAAGGTTGACATTCAAGGCATCTCCTATGCCGAGTTTCTATAAAGAACCTCCACCGAAGGTTGAGTTGAAGAAGGTAACCGTCTTCTTTATTCCAAGACAGACTCTTAATTTCCCAGTCTTATAATCTTTTAGCGTCGTTTAGTTTTATTGCCATATCTAAGTCATCAACATGGCAATGGTGGTTCATAAAATATTGCAGATACCAACTACTCGTCCAGTTTCTCCTAAACTTGGACGCAAAAAGGGTAATGTGGATACAGTCGGAGGTGAAGCTGGTTCTTGTGCCAGCCCTCGTGTGAGCCTTGAGAACATTAGTTCCGGAAAAGGAATGCTGAAACAAAAGGACTCATCTATTCTGGAGAAACCTGTCACAAAATCCCAGCCAAAACTTCAAACCCGAGAAATTTCAGACTCAGATAAAATCGAGAAGCCATTGAAGCCGAAACCAAAGAAAACAGAACCGAGAAAGCACGCCAAGAAAGAAGAAACAAAGAAAGCCGATGAAAACCTGAACTCTGTATCTGATACTCTCATTCAAGAAAATGAAGAGACCGCTAAAGAAGAGCAGAACAGTTCTACCTCTGATGTTCCGAATAAGATCGAGAAACTGAACTTGAACATTCCAAAGGCTGAGATTATTACAAGTGAAGTTGTGGCCGGAGGCTGAAGACAACCTAAGGGTTAAGGATCAAAGAGCAGGTCTGGTTCTATTGTTCTGTGTTTTTTTTTTCTCTATAATGTGAATACATTCCTTGCGTGCACCTTACAGCATTCTTTTTACTTTATTTCTTACTACGCAAGTCATACGGTCTCTTGCGATGCAATACTCGTCTTTCGAGTTGCAGTGTAAAGAAGGGTGTCTTTTGTTTATGCTTAATGCTTTTGTATTTTGCATTTTTTTTTTGAACTTTGGTAAATTCGACAATGTAAAAAATTTTTGGTAAAAGGTTTTTGTATTTCACTTTTTCTAAAAATATGTAAACAAAGTATTGGTGCAGATGGCCACATGCATCAAACAGAAAAACTAAGACAAAAGTGTGTAAATTATTTGGATGGTTTATCTGTTCCACGAGGTTTGTAAACTATTGCATGGGATCGTGGTGATTCTCCCCGTTATAAAAAAAAAAAGTGTGTAAACCACAATTAATGATCAGTTTGTTCCGAAATGTTCTGTCAGCCTTCTTAAGTAATATTATTTCAAATGTGTATCACCTTAATTACAAGACAGCCATACCAATAGCCCCGACCAATCTGTTGGAGGATAATAAATATCTAGGCGTCGCATGGCCCCATAGAGTAACAACGACTTTGTGAATGTACAGTTTACAGAGATGGTTGCGAGACTCACTGGCTAGATTACAGAAAAAACATCTCGGATTCACCATGAAGTCAATCTGTTTTCACTGGACACGGGTTATGATAGAAAAGCCAACAAGGAAAAATATGTTTTGGAGGACCGAAAGGTGTCCAAAACACTATATCTATTGCTGTATGGGACCAAGATCGCCTAGGGAATCAAGGAGAGGACCGAAAGGCGTCCAATTGTCGTACCAAAATGACGTCCGCGTACCATTTCCGACCTCCGTGCATATATGGGACGCTGCCATGTGCTTCAGCTTCAACAACTTTCTGAAGTAGTGGGTTGAATGACCAGAAGTTTCTGCGAGAGAGGCAGTGAGTGGTCTTTGATCCACGCCACCCATAAAAAAACCAGATCTAAAAATGAGATGACATATTAGCCTCAACCCACTTATATTGTTCCAAGTCTGTAAGTTGCGCAATCCTGATCCTCCGTCTGATTTAGGAATGGTGAAGATTGTAGTTATTTCGCGATTTATCAAAATAAAAATGGAGAGATTTGAAAATGAAATAAAATACTTTTGAGACTTTTTTTGGAAATAAAATAAAAATGGAGAGATTAGAAAGTTTTCAAAAATACGGTATAGTTTTATAATTTCTATAATTTGATGAGAATAAAAGTTCTCCAAAAATCGAATTGAAGAAAAAGTGTATACGTTGAATCGAAATGAAAAGGAAAAAAATATTTGTAAGAAGAATAAAAAAAGAAGGCCAAGGGTGAAAAATCCAGAATAAGACAAGAATCTGGAGTTTAAAATATGTCATAAAATGATTGATATGAACAAAGACAACATAAATAATTTAATAAGACCGAGTCGCTGAATCAGCCCTTTTCCAATTGGTTTGACTTCGTTTCACACTACTAAATTACAACAGATATAAGATCTAGTTATCCGATTTTCACTTGATTCTTCTCTTTCACTCTTCCAAGCTTAAGATTCCTCCTCCTTTGTGTGCTTCGCTCTTCGTTCTTCAACATCGAAAATCATCATCACAGAGAGAAATTTTTATGGGTCGTGATGAAGTGTCCTGAGATTGAAGATTGCCCACGAGATGATTCGTCGGTTGCTGGATCGCTCTGGTGATGGTGCCGGTGGAGGAGGTGTTTAAACATGTGGGTTTTGGGTTTGCTGATCTGGGTCTGTTTGGATTGAGAGAAAATCGAGGGGAAAATAGTTGTGAGGCTACAGAGAAAATGATATCTACGGGTATAAATCTGGTGATGACGGTGATCGGATTCGCGGTGAGCACCATGTTCATAGTGTTTGTGTGCACACGCCTTGTTTGCGCTCGGATTCACTTGAATTCATCCAGAAGATCATTTCCGATCGCTTCCCGGTCCGATCTTAGTATTGTAAGATGACAGATTTACGCTTCTTACCGTGTTTTTATTCTTGTCTCTTGAAGCAGTGCGAATGCGAGATTTCTCTCAATCTATGGTCCTGGAGAATGATTTTCGCCTTGTTGATTCTTTTATCATCTGGGAATTGCTTTGAATTTGGATCGAATGGAGACTGAGGATAAATCAATAGGAATAAATTGTTCTTTTGAATGGCAAATATTATCTAGCTGGTGATATATAGTGACAAGTGTTCTGCAATCTTGGATCCTGGGACTTTATTTGGTGTCAGTGTCTTCAATTACAGTGGAGATCTTAGTTTTGGGGATCTTCCCAATACAGATTACAGTGGTCTGTGATTGAAAATCTGCTTGATTTCTTTGCTTTAGTTCTCCAGCAATGCTTTTCCGTACAACTTTTGTGAATATCTTTGCAGATCTTCACTGACCTTTTCCCTCAAATTGCAACCTTTTGATAAAAAAAGCATTCGGTTTCAATCATTATGTTCCTTATCGTTATATCTGTTGTCAAAATATCCATGAAGTTTTTTGACAAAAAATAAATAAATTCCATGAAGTGCTTCGACTATGATGGAAGATATAGACAAGAAAAGAGGGGAAAAAGTGAAACCTTTTCTTTTTCTCTCGTATGTGTGTGCCCTTTTAAATGGCTGCTGAGACATTTTCAGAAACAGTATGCTCTTCTTTGTTATGCTTCCCTGTTCTATTGTCATCTTGTCTTTATGTTGTTTTTTTTTGTCTGAAATGGCGTTAAATTTCCGTATTGCAGCTCGAACGAGGTTTACATGGTCTTGAGCCAGTCGTCGTTGCCACCTTCCCAACAAAGTTGTACAGTGATGAGTGCTTCTCAGCTTCAGCAGATACACAGTACGTAATTTTTCTCGTGCTTTTGAGTGTATATTACACAATTTAACGACGATTTCAAGTTGCTGAAATTTCTGATGCTGTAAGGAAATAACCCTGGTATACGTTAATGACCGTGTTGCGCACTTAGGTGTAGAATATTTCGATCTTCTTCCCTCTGTTTCACTCATTTTCTCTGTTTCTCCCCCTCGCATATCCCGTTTTAGGCTAACTGACGGTAGGCACTTGGCCGAGATTATGCCATACATATGTAGAGAAAGAAACTTGCAACTTGAAGAAAGAACATCGTTATGGTTCAGACAAGTCCTAGTCAGTAAGATTTCTCGGCGTGCACATCAGTCATAATTGGCCCAATGGCAGAGAATGTTATTAGCTTTGCCTTGCATTTATTTCTTCTCCAACTTGTTTGGAAAATCAGGTTTTGTAAATCATACATGTTGGACTTTTCTGAACTCTCGATGTCATTCTCCAGCTGTCTTTTAGATTCAGGAGTGTGAACTCTTTCTTGCTTGTTACTTTTAATCAATTAGTATGAGTATGTTGAGTTCACGGGGTTCGAGTCTTGGAAGCAGCCTCTTGCAGAATATTCCGCAAGGTAAGGATTGCCTACAATACACCCCTTGTGGTGGGATCCTTCCCCGAACCTCGCTCAATAGGGACGCTTTGTGCCCCAGGCTGCCCTTTATGAGTATGTCGAGTTCTGCTGTTCAGATTTGTCATGCCATGGGTTCAGAACTATTGAAGACATGGTTATTAGTTTGATGCAAGGGCGAGGAAGTAGCAATATGTGTTCGTCGTTATGATTTAATGCATAATAGCATTAACTTTATCTATCATGGTTTCACTTGCAGTGAATGGACAACTGTGTCATACACCATTTCTGATTAAAGAAGAGTGATTTTGTGTCATTGCAGATGCTCGGTTTGCCTGGGAGAATACCACAGAGAAGATGTACTACGGATCCTGCCTTATTGCGGCCATTCTTTTCACGTGAACTGCATCGACATATGGCTTCAACAACACTCCACATGCCCTGTCTGCCGAATATCACAGCGCGACTCTTCCGACAGAAAGCGTCTGATGCAACCTCTGCACAGCCCAGCCACCCGGTCTCCCTATGGCGCAGACACTCGTTCATACAGCTACATCTTGACCCCAAATGGGTTTCCGTCACGAACTCGTGACAATCACGGGATTGACCCAATACAGGAGGATCACTGTGCATCTCTCGGGGACACAGACGAAACCGCTATTGATATGAATCCCGTCCCCGAGGGAACGCCAATGACGAAAGGGCATCTAAAGAAGCATGTGGAGAGCCCTTCAAACCCTCAGATTCAGTAACCTTTTTTTTTTTAAAGTACTTTGGAGTTGTAGTTGTGGTGCTGTGTGATTCTCATCGCCATCCTTTGCATGACAAAGGCCTTGTTTTTGTTCCTTCTTTTTACTTGTCTCTATCTGTCTAAACTCACAAGTACATTTAGTTTGGTTGGTTTTCGCTTAGACAGTTGTAAACTTGGATTGTAGTTCACTTTATATCAGATGAATGTTATATAATGCCACTGCACTATGGCAAGGGATTTTAGTGTAATGATGCACATTCGCGTCCTCATTTTCTTTTTCAGGCCAAATTGTGTTCGAAGTCCCTAAAGGAGTCCTCCTGATGATAGATGGCATGTGCTCGAAGTTTATAATGAAACATGCTCTTTTTTCTTGATAGAATAGCAAGCAACTTTTTAGTTTTGTAACCGTTCCCTTAATGTATTTAAAAACATTTTATAATTATAATAATTTATTGGTATTTTTCTTTTCTTTTCTTTTTCTTTTCTTTTTATATCATGATAATAAATCACCATATAATCTGATTACTCATTTTGTATTATATGTCACATTGTATTTATTAAAAAAAATATGTTTTAATTAATTTAATGACCAATAAAAACAAAAAAGTGCCACAAATACAATTATTAATATATATAGATTTGTTTCTTAAGAAATTAAAAAAAAAACTTAAAAATTGTGTTAAGGTAGTGTGAAGGATTATGCAGGTCTGCCTTGATGGCAGATTCTATCAGAATTAAGCGGCAAGTTGTGCAATTTTTTTATATAGATATTTTTTTAGAAATGTTTTGCCTTTGGACAGCATAAAATAATTTTTTAATATTTTGTTTGAATAGAAGAATAATATGCTACTTTAAAAAAAAATCAAATTATTCAAAGAAACAAGAGAAATAATTAAACAAATTATTCAAAGATATTCATAGTATTTAAATTGTAACAACCCAAAATTTTTTTTTTAAAAAAGAAAAAAATTCTGGACCGACCGGTCTAGACCGGTCCAGAGGTCTAGATCGACCGGTCTAGACTGTCGGCAAATCGAGACAAAAACAGCGACCTAGACCGACTGGTCCAGACGTAGACCGACCGGTCTAGACGCTGGGCAGCGACAAAAGTCGCGATTTTCGGCCGAAAATCGACCCGAAAGCGACGTTTTCCCATTAATCATCGACCAAAATTCGGATTTTTCAACCCTTGGGCCCTATTTCTATCCGGATTTGTCGAATCCATGCCTTCTTAATCCCTCTCCCGTTTCAAGTCTTCATCATCTCCTTCAATACTCAACCCTCTCTGCAAATCCGAAAAATTCCGTCTTAAAACCCATAAATTAACGTCCAAATCGGTTTCTACAGAGCAAGAGGAGCTTCATCAAGCTTTCCATTCAACACCCAGAGCACGAGGGTAACCTGAGGTGAGTGAATTCGAGTTTAATTCGGAAGTTTATTGACATGGGGTTTTGGGTTTTGGGTGATTCATACGAAATTGTTGATTGATTCTTGTTCTACATGCAATTAGATGAATTTTGATGAATTATCCATAGCAAATCGAGCTTGTTTGTGTGATTTTGGTGAAATCTGAGACGTAGACCGACCGGTTAGGGGTTAGACCGACCGGTCTAGGGTTACAGAAGAAATCGCGAAAATTCTGAGGTTGAAGACGACGTCCGGACCGACCGGTTCAGAGGCTGGACCGATCGGTCTAGACTGAAATTAGACCGAGACCCAAAATTTGATGTAGACCGATCGGTCTGGACGAAAAATCAGGCCGGTCGGTCTGAGGTCAGGCCGGTCGGTCTCAGACCGACCCGAAAAAAATTGAAAAATATAAAATATACCGGAAATACGGGCCAGACCGGACCCCACGTAGTCTGGACCCAAAATGACTAACAGGTAAGGTTAACAACCACGGAATGAGCCGAACTGGTTTTTCGGACGGACCGGGACCAGGTAGGTCGTGCCGGAGGTACAATACGGTAGTATGAATGGAGACTAGGGTAGTTGGCAATGCATGTAAATAAATATAAAAGACTACGCAAGCGGAAATGCATATATAGTAGATAAACTATATAAATGCATGTGACTGAGGTAGTTGGCATGGCACTAGCGTTAATTCGGAAGGATTCAGATTATCGTTTAGCGCGTGATTGTAGAAACGGGCGTTTGTGAATGATTGCACGATGTTTGCGAGATTGCGTCCCATCCATGGGCCATCCGATCCGGGTCGGATGCCACCCATATGAGATATGATTGTGAATGTGGCGATGATATGATCGCGCCAACGTCCGAACGATAGGACGGTTATGGGCACCCCGATGACTTGCGTAGATAGCCGATTGTAGTCGGTACTATTGCGTGATGAGGAACACACGGTTCTTGAAACCGCGCCAATGTTTCCGTTAGCGATGGAGCGGATCCCAGGATATGAGTATCCCGAGGATGAGGGCATCACACATACCTGAGATTCGGGTAGATTGGGGTCTCCCGAGGAGGTGGTATGGACTTACGCTGCCAGGTTCGGACCCGAACCTGACAAGTATTTCCGCGGCGGATGGTCGGCGAGGGAGAGTTGCAGCGATGGACACTCTCGTTATAGTCGATGGCGTCGGTTGTAGCCGACGTCTGGTGAGCTCTGGTATTGAGAGGTGACATCAATGCCGGAGTTGGGTGACATGTCTAGTATCGAGAGGTGACATCAATGCTAGGGTGGGGAGATGTGTTCAGGAGGAGAAAAATATATTTATGCCGGATTCGAGTGGTTGTGGAGTAGATGGATTCCGAGGAGAGAGGTGGTTATGCTATGCACATGGGGAGTACATTACCTACGAATGGTGCGCGTAGAGACGATTTGACGGACTCTGTCCTGCGACTTATTGTACGGACTTGATTGTGATTGCTGCATGCTTATCGTGATTCCATGCTTCATTTCCTGTTTATTAGTATACTAGTATATATATATCGTAGCCGAGGAGCGGACGTCAGAGACTTGGGCGGCCTGCCGTTTGATCATGTATAATTATTTCTTATGGTACATTTACGCTTTCGGAAAAAAATAGTTTTGTGTTATGTCGGTGGTAGACTTTTACGGTTTGTAATAATTTCATCACTACCATTGGTTATGTATAATTATCTGTGGGATAATGTACCGTATATGTATGTATGAATGTTTTCCTTCCGCTAACTCTGAAAAGAAAAGTTTTAAATTCCCGCGGATTTTCAGAAATTGAGTTTTTATTTTAGTTGTCCATGTGACGCAACTCGTATTGCGGGATGTGGGTTTCGGACGTTACATAAACAATATAGTTTTAAATTAGTTTTTTATTATTAGCAATATTCATTAAAAAGTGTTTATGTGTGTGTATATATTAAAAACAGATAAAAATCCTTCAAAACACATAGGAATATAGTTATATATGTCATTTCATATTTATTTAAAGGTGAATTTGGATAAATAATGATAGTAAAATAATAATAATAATAATAATAATAATAATAATAATAATAATAATAATAATAATAATAATAATAATAATAATAATAATATAATAATATAATAATATAATAATATAATAATATAATAATATATATAAAAGTACAGTTTCATTTGACGGGAGCATGTCACGTGTCCATAATTTTTAGAATCTCAAGAGTTACAAATTAATTAATTAATTCTCAATTAAAAAAATAGAAGAAACAAATTTTTTGTATTTACACAATACATTAACCAAAGACACTATGTAGAAAAAATTATGTATACCTTTCGTATTTACACAATAAATTTAAAATAATAAAAATACCTCTTATTTATTATATTCATTTATCTTCACACACGAGGGTGTACTTTCTTTGTATTAATTTTAGTAGACGTATAGTTGTTGAGTTAATTAATTATCTTATCTTATATATATAAAAGTTACAAATTAAGGCGTGTCCTCTTATTCAGAATATCAATAGTTACAGATTAATCAATTTTAAAATTAAAATTATACCTCTATCCATTAATTCTTCATACATATATAAAGACATTTGTATTACCGAAATTCAATGAATTTTAAAATGTATTTTCATATTTATATTCATCCCCTCTATTATTTCTTTAATTACACTAATTTTTATTATTATATTCTCAATATTCAATATCTTCTAAAATATATTTATTTTTTTATTATTCCATAACTTTCGTGTTCAATACTTCTTTCACCATTTAACGAAAATAATTTAGTTTTTTAAATTCATTGAATATTATTTATTTCAATTAAAAAAATTCTAAACTATAAAATAGGCTCATGTCCCATCAACAATGCCACTATTGCGTTTGATGTTTTAGAGTATCTAAGATGAAATGACGACCAATCCGGTTATTTCAGATTTATAATTCAATTTTATTGCATTTTACTTTTGATTTACTTCTATTATGTTTGTAGCAATCGCTTTTCGTTTGTATACATTCCTATTTCTGTAAATCAATGACGAGTCACGTACTATCAAATGTTATTTTTGCAGAAAGCATTCGCCGGAAAACTCTTGGAGTGGAGCGGCGAAAGAATATGCACCAAGACAGTCTCAAGTTCATCGAAAAGAGCTGGTCTGAGGGTGGCCGTCGAATCGAAGTGTTTTCACATCTTATTTTTCTTTTTTATATTTTCTTCCGTCTAGACTTGAGGAATTACATATATTTATATATATATATATATATATATATATATATATAAATTTACGTATGCTCAAAATGCTTAATGGACGATGATTAGAATGATAGGGTGTCACGTAAGCATTAGCCTAAACCAAACAAAAGTAGTTCTACGCACTTTCACAAAGAAGATTGAGTTGTTGTTTTGTTTTTCCTTCCAAACTTTTTTGGGATCTAAGTTGAATCCGTCAAATGGAATACTGATGATGAATTCGGAATACCAATATGCCAGACGCAACGAAGTTTCGAAATTCTCAAGATTGAGGATAGACAGATGATCTAATTAATATAATCACAAGAACATGGTAAAGATTCGAGCAATTCACCAATTGTCCTCATTCAAGATCTACTAAAACTGGAGTATCCAAGCATGAATCATATATTCAATTTGTTTGAAATACGATTTTCCAAAATTGTAGTTGTTTTAATCTTTCTCTTCATAATCTATTTGCTTGAATTATTATTCCCAAATCGAAATTATAGATTTATATATTGAGATTTCATTATTACTATCTACCCTATTTGAATAAATGTGCTTGGAACCCTAATTAGTTAAAGGCTTACGAAGAA